TCCTGTAATAGTTCCGACAACCATTCTGAGTTCCGGTCTGCTAAGACTGATCAGTCTGCAGGTGAGTCGTGGTGTGACTTGATTCAGCACCAGTTTGGACTGTCTGCAGCCGGGTGAGTTTTTCCACCTCCGGTTGTGTGCTTCACAGGTCCGTTGCCTGACCCAGCATCGTATTTGGTTAAACGATATGGGCAGGAGTGGAGTTGGACCAGAGGTTGGGGTTGCCGAGCCCCTCCTTGCCAACTCATCTGCAGCATCGTTCCCGTGTGAGTTACTGTACCCTTTAATCCATTGGAGGAGTACCCCATTGAATATAGCGAGCTGTTTCAGTGCTTGGTGGCATTCGAAGACAATACCAGAGGTCATTGTGTTGCCCTCCAGTGCCTTTAAGACGGCCATGCTGTCGGATATTATTCGGATGTTGTAGTCCTTGATACCCCTTGACATGGCCGTTGTGGCAGCGTAAGTTATTGCCACACATTCACATTGAAATATGGAACTGTGTTGGCCTAACGCTAGTGATATGTTTATATTTAGGTCTTGCGAGAAAACTCCGGCTCCAGTTCCTGACCTAGTCTTGGAACCGTCCGTGTAAATTCGGACTTCGTTAATGCCGGATTGATCTCGGTCATTTCCATGTATCTGGATGTAGTATCTTCTTGTGAAGATATGGTGTTTTGGGATTCTATCGCATGGAGCTGCTATCAGTGGTTCGTATTCCACAATTGGTGGAATACGAACCACTGATATACACACAGCCACATTGTACTGGCTATCCCATAATTTGGAGTGCGATCCCTCACTTTTGTGCCATAGACCCAGGTGTTTGAGTCTAATGATCGCCATGGCGGCCTCCTGCTGTATGAATAGATCCAGGGGTGGCAGACCAAGAGCCACCTCCAGTGCGGCAGTAGGCGTTGTGCGCATACAGCCAGTGACCGCGGAGCATGGGAGTCGCTGGAATTGCTGCAGTTTGTTTATGACGGTGCTAAGCTCTGTTCTCTGCCACCAGACAACAGCACCGTAAGTGATTATTGGTCTTATGACTGTCCTGTATAGCCATAAAGTGATTTTGGGTGATAGTCCCCAGCTTTTGCCGAGTAGCCGCTTGCATTGGCAGAAAATAATGCAGGCTTTATTCAGTTTTTCATCGAGGTGCTTATTCCACAGGACTTTACTGTCCAGTATTACTCCTAGGTATTTGACCTCTTTGGTAAGAGTAAGTTGTGTTCCAAATAGCTTGGGAAGTCTGAGATTTCCTAGGCTGCGTTTGTTTGTGAACATGATCATCTCTGTTTTGGATGGGTTCACTGTCAGGTTGTGTGCTACGCACCATTGTTCCACGATCTTCAGTGCAAGTCTCATTTGATCGCATGTAATGCTCTCAAAAGGACCGCTGATGAGAATAGTAAGATCGTCTGCATAGCCTATTGTGAGGAATCTTTGGTCATTAAGTTGTGCGATGAGCTCATCCACAACAATGTTCCATAGAAGGGGGGAGAGTACACCGCCCTGGGGGCAACCTCTAGCCACCACTCCTCTAGTCACTTCGCTCACAGTGAATTGAATAACTCTATATCTTAGCATGCTGTCGATCCACCCTGAGATTGTGGAATCAACACCATGACTAGACAGAGCTTGGCTAATGCTGGTGAAGTTGGTCTTGTCAAAGGCTCCCTCGATATCGATAAAGGTAGCCAGTGTTGACCTTTTGTGATTTAGATTGTCTTCTATATATGAAACAACTCGATGTAGGGCAGATTCTGTTGATTTAACCATCGAGTATGCGTGTTGATTGAGGTGTAGAGGGTGACTGACTAACGCAGTTTCCCTGATTTCCCTATCTATTAGCCTCTCGAGAACCTTTAGTAGAAAAGATGTGAGACTAATAGGTCGGTGTGATTTGGGTTGTGTGTAGTCACCTTTACCAGGTTTGGGGATGAAGACTACTTTAACTTCTCTCCATTTCAAGGGGATGTACTGATGCGCCAGGCAGCCCCTATAAATTTTTACAAGATGGTCCAGTAGTGTCATATCACACCATCTCAGTAGGCCTGGGAAGACACCATCTAGTCCTGGCGCCTTGAATGGTAGGAAGCTGTTAATTGCCCATCTTAGTTTGTCATGATTGACAACTTTGCGGGCCGTATCCCAGTCTGTATCATCTGGTGGTTTTTCCCATCTGTCTTCCCATTTTTCCATCACATCTGAAATGCGACATCCAGGGAAGTGTGTTTTTAATAACAGCTCTGAGGCTTCCGAGTCTGTTTTGGTATACTCACCATCAGGCTTCTTCAGTGAGCCAAGATTGTGATCGCCTCTACTACACAGTATGCTTTTGACTCTATTAACCTGGTTGTTGTTTTCTATGTTAGTACAGAAGTTTCTCCAGCACTCAGTTTTCCTGGTTCTGATTCTCTTCTTATATTGTTGTCGGGCCTGCGTGTAGGCATCCCAATGTTGGTCTAATCGCGAGTTTTTTGCTTTATTGAACAACTTTCTCACTTTACGACGTAGTCTTTCCAGTTCCGGACCCCACCATTGGTGTTTGTTCTGTGGTCCAGTTCTGGGTGTGGTAAGTGGGCATGTTTGTTCAAAGCAATCGATCAGTGTCTGTGTAAGGTTGACAACATGTCAATGTCCTTAACAGTCCCCGTAGCGTATGTTGGGTTGATGCTTCGCAGGTTCTCCGCAGTAAGATGTTCATACCGTTTCCGGTCCATCGTGCGGGGATTCCGTCGGGGATCGGGTAATTTAAGTTTCATTTCAAAGTTAAATTTGATCCAGCGATGGTCTGAGCACGATGCTTCGTTCGAAACATGCCAGTTCGATATGTGTTGCGATGCGTGCTCACTTGCTAATGTAAGATAAATTATAGTTTGGGCCCTGAATGTGACAAATGTCGGCTCCGAGCCCACGTTAATAATGTTAAGGTTAGTTGATAATAGGAACGATACAAATTCCTCACCTCTCCGGTTGTTGCTCCTGCTGCCCCACAGCGCATGGTGCGCGTTGGTGTCGGCAGAGATGATCAGCTCCAGACCCTCGCACTCGCAGTGGTGTGCCAGCGCAGCCAGCTCCGGAGTGGGGATGTCAGCATCGCCCGGCAAGTAGGCTGATGCTATCACCACGTCAGGCAGGTTTGATGAGGGTTCCTTTAATCTAATAGAGGTAAGGTCTCTGGAACAGAACTCGGTCATTAAGGTAGTACACGCATGTTTTGGTGTGTAAATACAAGTTATCAATGGGGTTATTTACGGGTTATCAATGGTAGTGTTGAGAAGTATCTTATCTCCAATATTGTTTAGACCGCAGATCCTGCCCTTCCTAATCCACGGCTCCTGGATTAGGGCTACGGTGTTGGTTTTTACCTCCAGCTCTCTGCGTAGGTTAGCCGTTGCTGTATGGCTGTGCTGGAGGTTGGTTTGGATGGCTATAAGGGTGTTATGGGGGGGTGCAGACAGCGCCATCATCGCTGTTCAGCATATCCTCTATGTCGTCGAGGTCACTCTCGCCCACCGGTAGGTCCTCCAACTCCTCAGGAGGTGGACCCCGGCAGGCTGTCTCCTCAACGGGCATCAGAGGATCCCCTCCATTGCCGTCCTTACGGTGTTGTGGGGCCGATTCAGGCTCCTCGTCTGGGTTAGTTGGTGGGGCGGGACGTTCATCGAGGAAGCGAACGTAGAGGTTACCCAGTTTGTAGTATACTCTACGCTCGCTAGCCTTGAGCTTCACGACGTCCTCTTCTGGGATGCCGAGCACTAGGAAGAGATATTTCTTTTCTTCCTGCGCCTCGGCATGTTAGAGGGCCCAGTTGGCCACATTGTACTGGCTATTCTGGTACTTTAGCCTCGTTTGTATACGGACCAGTGTATCATCTGGTCCGATTTGATCTCAGACTGCCTCCTGACGACCAGTTTGGTGCCTTCACGTGGTGATGGGATCCTTACCAGGGATCGGCGAAGCCACTGTAGGGCATATTCGTCGTTGCACCACATCTTAAGGGCGCCCTCACTGTAGAAGGCCTTGCCCCTAAACTGTGGCGCAGCGACGGGTGCGCTTGACGTGCCGGGCGAGAAGATCTCCTCATCTAGCACGCCCTGCAGCTGGCCCTCGATGTCCTCTGCCTGTGCCTTGGTGAGGTCGTGGTAAGGCTCCAGCATGACCGCGACGCAAAGGTCATTCGCCTTTAGTGCGTCGGAGTAACTCGTGGAGCCGGTCTTTGGCAGCGGTTTGAATCGCTTGCCACTGCCCTGGGGAGTGCGAGACTCGTCCGGGCGAGTTCTTTTGACGGGCTTTGTTTCACTCGAAGGTTTCCCTCCACGTGTCGCTCGTCTCGCCCGTTTACCCTGTCCAGCTTGACCCTGCCTAGAGGGTACTTTGGCCGCTACAGGCGTCTTGGCAGGGGGCGCCCCCACAGGAGTACACTTCCCCGTGGCTTGACTTTCGTCTTCGCCTCGGGGCAGCTCATCACTGGCGGGGGCAACGTGGGCCCCTTCAGGCCCTTCAGCGACTTCAAGCCGCTTACTTCCACCCGAGGTCAGACACCGTGCTTGCCTTTCCACTCGGGCTTTCGCCCTGTTGGTTGGTATAATTTATCTATATTATGTATGTTTTTAGAAACATATAAGTGTATTTATCAGCAGTCTGGTTGCCTAAATTTTTATTTATTTATTTATTTATAATATGTAATTTTTTACACATTATAAATAAAAGTTTAAATAAAATAAGCTCACACAATTCACAGCTGTTTTTTCACAAACTAGGCAGAGCCTGTACCATGGCATGTCACATAAATAAAAAAATATTGTATCTCTGTTAATCTTTAGTAAAAAAAAATTCCATTTTCTTTTTTTTTAATGTTAATCAATACTAGATGTATCAAAATCAAGATCTTCACTAAATCCACACGCAGTTCTCCATTCTGTCTCGTTCAGCACATATGTAGAAGTCAAACTACGAAAGCTGTCAAGGTCACAGAAACCGTCGCATCCATCTACTTAGAGGTATACCTCGTCAGCGCCAGGTTCTTCAAGAAATACAGGCTGTAAAAGAAACAAATCATTTGTAACAGTTACTTTTCTAGGAGATAAAAATTATAAAGCTAAATAAGGAATTTTGTCAAAAAGGTCAGAATCTTTTCTTTCTTATAGATTCTAAACTCTGGCTAAGATGCATCTTCTCAATCAACTATCGCCATAATCAAACATATCAGTATACCAATGTTTAAAGTGCAATGTCCGTTATTAAATCACGTAATTTGTTGATTTGAAAGTCTGAACATGAAGTTTTATCGTCTCTAGACATGTTATCTTCGGTAGTCATAAAGCATAACAATCGGTCAGCTGTTTTCTTTGTCTACTGAACTTTCTCATTGTGGTGCAAGGCCATTCCATAGATAATTTTATTATCTAAAATATATTTTTGACCCTGTGTTATGCACATACATTCATTTGTTTAGGTATTTTTATGACATGCTTAAGCAAAACACTTACCACTACAATATACTCTCCAGTTTGTAAATTTCTTCTTAATTCCAGAGAAAATAAGGACCCGTACTTGGGCACACCTAGTCGAGGATTGATCCTTGTAATAGAACTGAAGGTGAATACATTGACGTCGTGGGCAGAGTACACCTGGATCCTAGGCACGTCTCTTCCATTTATAACTTTGTCTACCGCATCAAAGAATTCTTGCAGATGAACTCCTGAAATTCAATCAGAATGTGGTGTGGAATGTGGAATTGTGTACTGTTGGTCTGCCTATGTCTGTATTGTCATTTAACTTCAATAAAGATTTATTATCCGAAATTATTTAGATGTCTCTGAAGATGCTGGTCCTTTATGTAGGTACATTAACTTAAAGCTAAGGTACTAACGGCTGTGTAAGTTTACCTGAGTACAAAGGTAAGTATTTGTCATCTCCAAATAAAATATCCATGGCTTGTCCTGCACCTTCTACTATTTGAGGAAGCAGATCCTCCAAATTTTTGGGAAGCGGTACACCTAAACTTATCTGGAATACGTCATATTTATTTAATTTTTGGAATAAATGCCCGACAAACAAAGAATTCTTTTTTTCTTTTCTTTTTTTAAAGACAACTCCCGCAGTAGGAATACATTAATGTGTCGCGGGGGACTTTACAAACATATATGAAACGGACACAAAGAACACCCAGACTCAGAACAACAAATTGTGGATTACACAAAGTGTTGTTCCATGTGGGGTTTGAACCCACAACACTCGGCGCAGTAGGAAGCGGCGTGGCGACCGCTTAAACCACTACGCCATCCGTGCAGTCTATAGTCAATTTAAAACAATGTGGATGAGTCAACACACAGAGATATACGATTTAGTGACTTTGTTGCTTTTATTAAAATAACCAATAATTATTATTAATCCTTGTAGACATAAAGCTAAATGCGGAATAATTGATTTGACTAATTGATTTGACGGGCCTGTTGGTCTAGTGGTTAGTGACCCTGACTGTTAAATCGGAGGTCGTGAGTTCGATTCCCACCCAGGACAAATATTGAGTGATGAGCACGGTCATTTGTTATGTGTCTGGATGTAATTTATCTATCTTATGTATTTATTTAAAAATATATAAGTATGTTTATCAGCAGTCTGGTTACCATAGCACAGGCTCTGCCTAGTTTGGGATCAGACGGCCGTGTGTGAGATGTGTGAGATATATTATATTATTATTATTGAATGTCTTTAATGCATACAATAATTTGGTTTCTATATATCAGAAATATGAGAGTTTAAAATATTTGAATGAAGTATATTCACCTGGCTGACAAACATATCGTTAATGACATACAGTGTAACAGGAGATAGTGAGACATTGATGTCAAAGGTGTTCGATATTTCTTCCATAACACGTTCATACTTTGTCATAGTTGGAGGGGATTTCGATAAATTGTTCGCGAAAATATTAGAGAGAACTGGACAATTTACTGTGGGTAACAGCTGAAATAATAATATACAAACATTTAAAACATTTGGATTTAAAAAATATTTTTATGTTGTAGATTTTATCTAAAGCTCGATAAAGGTATTTTAATAAATTTTAACATAAATTTCAGTTAAAAACTGTCTTTAAAATCTTTACAAATACTTGTCAATTGCTCTATATTAGTCTCGTTAAAACTCAAATAAGGTTTAACCTTATAGAGCGCATTAGTCAGTTAAGAGAAATTACGCCTCTTCCGTTTTAAATACTTACACTGTCATATTTCGCTCTCCTAGTAGTATACGGTACGGGAGTCCAGTTGATATCTTTACTCCAATTATCTTTACCTGGAGGGTAAACAGCAGCCATGGCCGCCAGTACCGTCATTTTGGTTCTAGTAGAATCAGTTGAACGAATAAATATTTCTGATGCGTTGTATTGATCCGAAAGTTGGGAGCCATAGCGACGGCGGATGAATTTACCTAATTCATAGCCGCGTAATCTACCTTTCTGAAATATATATTTGCTGTGCATTATGCCAAGAACTATGTACTCTAATTAGTTAAGAATGTTTCGACAGGTTAAGTTAAGAAATATTCTCAAACCTTCCTTCACATCACATCACACATCACATCATCAATAGCCTTTAATAGTCCACTGCTGGACATAGGCCTCTCCTTAGAAAGGAGGTTTTGGCCTACTATACCACGCTGGCCAGACGGGTTGGTATAGAGTTTGTGTCAAGTTTTCCTTCTCTTTGCCGTGCTGGTTGTCCTACGTTAGCTCCCTTAGTCGCCTCTTACGATACCCACGGGATGAATAGGGGTGGTGACACTCCGTATTCTTAATCCGTCACCACACGGACCGGACGGACCTTCTTCAGCCATCAATAAATAACATGAAGCTGCATCGTATAATAACCTTAGCAACTGAAAATTAAATAATCGTAAATACGTGGCCTTTTGATCGAACTGTTAGCGATCCTGACTTCTAAGCCAGGGGTCATGGGTGCGATTCCTACCCAGGACAAATGTTGCGTGAAGCATAATCATTCCGTTTCTGGGAGTAATCTATAGTTAGTCTAGAGTAATAATCTATAGTTTTTATGTATTTCGGTTTGTTTATCAGCAGTCTGGTTGCCATAATATAGGCGCATCCTATTTGGGATCAGATGGTCCTGTGAAAGGTGGGTCAAGGAATTACTAACTTTATTATTAAATACTTACATCTGTGAGTTGGCCGTAGCCGTATTTCTTTGTTTTTTCCAATACCAAGTCTTTGTCACTGGCAAATTGTATTGTTGTTTCAACTGGCGTTCGATCACCATGGCGATGTACCTTTGGATAATGAAAATATATTTTTAAGCTAAAACTTACTTAGGGATCAGTCTTCTTCTTATTTATTAACAAATCCATTTGATGTATACTCGTATAAAGAATTTTAAAAGCAAAATATAATAAAATACATAGGGTATGCCTCAGGGAAGCATTTAAGGTCCTACTTTTTTTGAACGCTATGTGGTTTACATATTTTTTAATAATATTGCTCTTACATTAACAGGCACGTTCTAAAACAACTCTTTTAGAACTTATAGTTAAGTCAATCTAATACTAGCTACGCTTAGGGGACCTATTTAATTAAAGTTTATAATACTCTACTTTCTTCATCAGCATTACGAAATAACATATCGAAAACAGTTGCAATTGTTAAAAAATAGATCATTCAAAGAATAGATAATCATACTAACCATAAAAGCTAAAACCAGTTCTGTCTTGTCTAGGATTGAAACTTCACACAAACATGTCTCTGATAACATAAATATCACTGCACAGATCAATATCTTGTACATTTTTAAAAACGTTCCTGTGATTACTAATTAAGATGACAGTAGATTTTCAACCTGCAAATAAAATATATTTTAAAATTGTTACTTAAAGCCAGAAATAACTGCTAGGAGAACAATCGAAAAAAGTTTTATATTAGAGTTATATCCTGTAATTTCGATATTTCTGTGTTTATTTGCCTGTATGCCTTTGTATGAGGGTAAGTACTAAGCCAGTAAGCCAAAAGAAAAACGAAAATTTTGTATATTTCAACTTATTTCAAAGACAGACTAGGTTTGGTGCCTACTAAACGTAGTCTGACATTGAAATCAGTAAGTCAGGCGGCTTAGGCCATCTTGAGGATGGTGTCTAACCTCGAAGAGGAATCCCCTAAGTTACTCAAAAAATTGTCATTATTGGCTGAATTGACAAATTACCACGGCCTTAGAGAAAACCGGTGTTAAGCTATTCTTTCGTGACTTTTCACTGAGTCAGTGGAATAATCGGAGTCCAAACGCCTCTCTTTATGACGCTGGGGAGGGAGGAAGACTCAAGGAGTGGTGAAGAGACATGGACATTTTTGCTACTTTTGATTCATATTCATTCGATGGAATGATTGGTGTTAGTCACTGCGATTTCCCATGTGATTTCGTCATGGACAAAGACAAGTGGTATTCAAATCAGTCAACATTATTTGTATCATAGTTTACGACCCTTTTAGATATTCGTGTATGTGTAGTTATGTATGTTGTTTTAGTTAGTATACGGAATTTGTAAATGCGTACCACACGCTACATATTACTATATAGTATAGTCCATCTAAATAAATAAATAAATAAAGGTTGCCTGGAAGAGTTCGCAGGCTGCCATAAGGGCCGCTCATTATTATATGCAATAAAGAGTACCAATCTACTCGTATTTATCTGTCTACGACCCTTTTGTTTTAGATTTTGACCTTTCGCGAGTCTTGCGCTAGCGTAATAATAATAATTAAGTAAAAGTGGTTTTGTAAATCAGTCACAGGTGTAATAAAATGATTTTTAAATCATATTATTCGCCACATGTGATTCTGTTTTTATGCCATCCCTAGTGGTGATAGCGATCACTTGTGACTCTTGAGCTGTAGGTGTCCATGGGTAGCGGTAGTCACTTATCATCTGGAGACCCGTCAACCCGTTTGCTCCATAAATAATGTGAGTTTGTTTGTCTTCACAAAGTTCAGCAATAGTTTGTCAAGTATTAAAATATAGTTAATAATTAGTTTATCAATAGTTTATCATTAGAAGAAATAGAGTAAATACTAATAATAATATTCTTCCACATACACAACGCTATCTACTCCCAAACTAAGCAGAGCTTGTACTATGGGTACTAGACAACTGACATAAATACATATATACTTTTTTTTTGTAAATACATACATATTATACATAGAAATACATACATACATAATACATATTTTCGTACATTAACACACAACGCCATCTAGTTTCAAACTAAGCAAACCTTGTACTATGAAATCTAGATTGACTGATAGTATACTGAAATAAAAAATGCATTAGTATTATCACTAATATCGTCACAATCTATTTAGTCAAACAATCGGTTATTTCTTGATTAGATTAGCGTAAAATATAAAGTAATTGCTGAGCTATTGAGGATTTTATGACATTAGAGACTAACACACCAAAAGATTAACTGTATTATCAAACACGCAACGGCCGACAAAATGTTTAATACTTATTACATGATCGATTTAATACCCAAATTACACATTGTTTTCTTTACTTTTTAACTATAGGAGATAGATAAAGAAGCAATTCAAAGTTATATAATACCTATTGATCACGTGAAAACCCGTGTCCATGTGGTGACGGATTAAGAATACAAAATGTCACCACCCCTATTCATCCCGTGAGTGTCGTAAGAGGCGACTAAATGAGCGAAACCCGCAGGACAACAGCACTGCAGAGAGAAGGAAAACTTGACACAAACCCTATATCAACCTGTTTGGCCAGCGTGGTATAGTAGGCCAAAACCCCCTTTCTGATGAGAGGCCTATATCCAGCAGTGGACTGTTAAAGGCTGTTGATGTGATGTGACGAGAAAACTCTGAATAATAATTATGCATTAAACGGTCTTCAGTGAAATTTAACATTTAGGATTCCAACCATATACAATTTAAAAACGACTAGCTGAGCTAGCATTTTGTTTGCAATTATGCAAAAATAGATTTAAAAAAAAAACAGTGACACTCCGGGAACCGAGTGCCGACATAAGTGAAAGCTTGTTTTTTTTTAATTATAACATGTTTTTTTTGTTTTTGTCCAAAAGTTCCCACGTGAATACATATTTATGATATACGTATATACACAATATTTGTTTATATTATATATAGTTAAATTATCAATGTATTTCAACCCAAACTCAACTCTCGTGTAAACGGGGCCAATATATGTAGATACTTATATACAGAGGTGTCGGTAACGGTAACAGTGTCGCGAGTTCAAAAAAATTTTCCCAATTTAAAAAAAATACATTATTTTGTTTGTTGTTCAAAAACGCCCAACGTGCCAGAGAAGTTTTCACTTCAAAAATCTTTAAAGCGAGTTCTTTATCGTGTCAAAACTCAGTCAGTGCCAAAGGAAGGAAAGAAGGAATAAATTGTCACCGTTTTATTTCCTCTTCTATTGGTTATATAGCCTAGCCTTGCCTAGCCTCTTTGATAAATGGATTATCTAACACTAAGGGAATTTATGAATTCGAACCGGTACTTCCTGAGATAAGTGCGTTCAAACAAAGAAACAAATTCTTTAGTTTTATATTATTAGTAGACTCGTAGATAATAAATATGGCACTGCCTGGGTTGGACATTAACATTTCACACTGAAAACCAACGACGATTTTCTTCTATTTGATCAATTGCTGCCGGTTATTTATGATGACATCTTAACAATGGTTAATACGATATTGTTTCATTTTTTGCTATTGTAATAACTTACATACCATTAAACATTCTTTTGCAAATAAATTTACATATACGTAAGCTATTACTAATGACGTTAACAGCACAATAAAATATTATTCTCATATAATAATAATGAATAAATAATTATTATAATTTAACACATCTCACACATGGCCGTATAATCCGAAGCTAGGCAGAGGCTGTACTATGGTAACCAGACTGCCAATAAACATACTTGTATATTTCTAAATACATACATAATATAGATAAATTACACCGAGACACAGAACAAATGATCGTGCTCATCACACAGTTACTTGTCCTGTGTGGAAATCGAACCCACGACCTCCGACTTAGCAGTCAGGGTCACTAACCGCTAGACCAACAGGCCTGTCAATTACTATACCGTTTAACCGTGTGGTGACGGTATATCGTTCATGCGTGAAACGTGGCCAGTCCATCTCAACTGCTCTTTTATTATGAGTTTTATTATGAGTGTTTCTACTCTGGGTCGACGTAAAATCTCGATGTTTGGAACACGGTCCTGCCATTTAATACGCAGAATAGATCTTAGACATTTAAGGTGGAAGTCATCTAGTTGCCTGACATCCGTTTTGTAGCAACACCATATCTCTGCAGCATATAGCAATGTAGGCAAGGCAATGGCTTTGTAGATAAATATTTTAGTTCGCAAGCTAATGTCGTGAGAGTTCTAAACGCGTGCCCTATTTCGGGCTGGTATCTCTGACACCAAGGTGTTGTCGCTCCTTATGTGACTGTCGAGATATTTGAAATGCGACACTTCCACCTGTCCAGTATTGTTCAACTTGATACCGGACTGATCCTCACTCCAACCTCTAGGGGGCTGCTTTAATACTTGAGTCTGATGTCAACAATCTTAAGGAGTCAGTGAAGATGGCTCATGGGTTTATTTGTACTTTTTCAAGTACCATCAAATTACTTGATGAAAGGATTGTGCAAGTCGAGAAAGTGGCAACAGAAATTCCTTCCATGTAGGCAGAGATAACTCGACGATAAGGACCAGTGGGCCAGGGCCATTTAACGTCAAGATTCGTGGAATTCCCTAAAAGAAAAACCAGAATCTTTATGATGTGGCCCAGTAAATTGGCAATGTTTGCGAAGTAACGAACTTGGAAAAACCAACTGTTATAGCTTTTAATAATAGATATATAAAAGAAGACCTGGTTGCATCCACACGTAAATGTAAAAAGCTAACACTTTCCAACCTGGCTTTTAATCGCCTAATAACTCTTACATAATGATCACTTGACGCAAACAAAAAAACGTGCACGATCACTGGCGAAAGAACGAGGGTTCCAATATATCTGGGTGAAACACTCCAAAATCATGCTCAGGAAGACCGGCAGTTCCCCTTTATTTTTTACTCGCTGACCCGCGCAACTTCGTCTGCGTTTCTCAATAGTAATAAATTTTCTCCGTTTTTTAAACATTCTTCATTGGTGCTCCGCTCCTATTGGTCTTAGCGTGATGATATATAGCCTATAGCCTTCCTCGATAAATGGGCTATCTAACACTGAAAGAATTTTTTAAATCGTACCAGTAGTTCCTGAGATTAGCGCGTTCAAACTAAATACACTATAATAATAAATACACATATACTACACTATACTAATAAACTAAACTAATCAAAATATTAGTATAGATACGATGCGAAAAAGATTTGGCGAGGATTGTCAAATTTTTTATTTTAAACTTTATATTTTGTACAGTTTGTTGTATAAACATGTACCCAGTTTGAGAACCATTTGTATATTACCTGCCTTTTGTTTGATGATCTATGACCGCTGTCTGAGAGGTCAAGCTAATCAATTAACGCACGTAATTACACAGTATCATACATACTATATACATAATACTTTTATTCACGCGCATAAAAAAAATGTTATTATTTTTATATTCTTAACCAAATGATACTTATTGATACTATTGTGAAGTATTTTACTTGTTGTTTACTACTTATCTATTCACCAAAGGCAAACCTGTATCATGGTAATTGAAATTTTAAGTGTTATATGC